ACACGTGGACACACACACACTTGGACACACACACACACACTTGGACACACACACTTGGACACACACACACACACTTGGACACACACACACGTGGACACACACACACACTTGGACACACACACACTTGGACACACACACACACTTGGACACACACACACACTTGGACACACACACACACACACTTGGACACACACACACACTTGGATACACACACACTTGGATACACACACACACACACACTTGGACACACACACACTTGGACACACACACACACACTTGGACACACACACACACTTGGACACACACACACGTGGACACACACACACACTTGGACACACACACACACTTGGACACACACACACACACTTGGACACACACACACGTGGACACCACACACACACTTGGACACACACACACTTGGATACACACACACACTTGGATACACACACACACACTTGGACACACACACACACACACGTGGACACACACACACTTGGACACACACACACACACTTGGACACACACACACACTTGGACACACACACACACTTGGACACACACACACTTGGACACACACACACACACTTGGACACACACACACACGTGGACACACACACACTTGGACACACACACACACTTGGACACACACACACACTTGGACACACACACACACTTGGACACACACACACACTTGGACACACACACACTTGGACACACACACACTTGGACACACACACACTTGGACACACACACACACACTTGGACACACACACACACTTGGACACACACACACTTGGACATACACACACACACTTGGACACACACACACTTGGATACACACACACACACTTGGACACACACACACTTGGACACACACACACACTTGGACACACACACTTGGACATACACACACACTTGGACACACACACTTGGACATACACACACACTTGGACACACACACGTGGTTCCTCACGCATACATGCCGTACATACTTGCGCGCACACTCGCACACAAACACACACTCCCTCGTTCACACTCTCACACAGCAGGTGATGTTGACGACCACTCTATAGCGTTGACAGGCGCACACACTCAAGACGCACGCAAATGACAAAGATCCCCCGTGTAGCCTTTAACGGACTGTTGGGGCAAGTGCTGTTGGCGAGCGCCTCTGAAGCCCGTCACGGCGCACGAGGGGGAGGGGGTGAGTGGCCAGTGCCACGCCCGGCCACTTGTGTCCACCTAGTGGCACACAAACATCCAGGGTACAAATCTCTGCTGGGCCGCGCTGCGACAGCCACACCGAGTCACCGTGACCCCTGAGTTTGTGTGTGTTCGTAACCACGCCGACACCTTCCCAGCCTCCCGCAATCTCCGTGGCGTTGCCAGCACGCACCAGAGGTCGCAACCGGGTACCCGATACCCGTACCCTACCCGATACCCGGCTACCCGGGCCGGGTACGGGTACCCGTTTGCGACCCTGGTGCGGCCGGGTACGGGTAAGGAATCAAAACCCGTTTGTGACCTCTGGCTCGCACGCAGGCGGCGGTGGTGGCGGTAGTGGTGGTGGTGGTGGGGGGGGAATTGGACCGGGTGCCGCAGTTAAATGTCACCGCGCTACGTTCACCCTCCCCGTTCCGCCGACGGTCGTCATCTCTGATTATAATCATTGGATCGTCGATGATTGCTCTTGCCCCTTCGCTCCCCGCGTCGACCCCGTGGCCTTGACACGAACCTTGCAGACAATCTGGCGTTCCCCCCCCCCCCGGTCGCGCCGTAGCGTGTAAAATAGTCGTGCGTTAAGCGAAGAGTCGTGATTGGTCGATGTACATTACGCTTTATTTTTTAAACGTATTGTAAACGGGGCTTCGTTTTAATCCGGCACAACCACATCCACCAATACCTCTCGCAACGGGTGACCCGGGTTCACGTTCTACCAGCGATCCGGTGAATATTGCCGTGCCCGACGCACCGTATCCAGTCATACCTCTCGCTGCGTCTGCGGCTGCTAAGTCAGAATGATTTAGCCTCGCTGGTGATAATCCTAATGGGGGGGGGGGGGGGGGGGAGTTTGTAAGATGTGTGTAACGTGAACTGTGTCATGGGAAATGTGGCCCGTTCTGGCCAGTCGGTGAGAGAATGAACGGAACTTTATTTGACCAGGTAAGGCACACGGAGCTCTATGCAGCTCATTTTCACAAGCGACCTGGCCACGAATGATAGCTCAACGACAAGTGGCTTATCGCGTAGAAATTTAGAGCAGCCGCATACTCCAAAGGCGCGTTGGTAGATGTGGAGGACCAGGAGACAAAATGCACTCGACCAAATATTACAGCAGGTGTCGGGATCGGCACCGAACCCCCCCACGACCTTTATAGCGGACGAGGCAATTCACATCTCGTCGCCCGCGGTGCCTCGTGAGCGTCGCTTGCTCATCGCCTCAAGTCGAGCGGACGGAACTCCGTAGCGCTTCCTCGCGGACGGACGACGACGACAACAATCGCGGAGACGGCAGTTTGGGCTGCACGCGGCGATGAGGGTTCGCGCTTTCAGCCGACCTCGTGTGACCCCTGCACCCACCAGAGGCACGAGATCGACCAAAATTCCTAACAACAACAGCAATTGTCAAAAACGGATGATGAAAAAAAAACGGGGTCCCGTAGAGCTAAACTAAATCCAGCATTGATTATTGATTGAATTGATTGGGGACCCCGAATTTGTGTCAAATCGTTCCTGAAACTTTGTGGGCAGTGAGCCGTCAGGTGTCGTGCGCGGTGATGATGATGGTTGATGGTGGTGATGGTGGTG